GGAGGCAGCGCCCCCCCCGGTACTCTGGGCGGGAGAGCTGTCCCCTCAGGGTGTCACCGCCCCGGCCCGGCCTGTGGGCGCCTCGGTAAACGGCGCTTTCTTCCCACGGAGCCGCGAATGAGCATCCTGCCCCTGCTGCGTTGCTGGGCCGGGCTTGGTGGGAGAGCCGGGGGCTGGTTTGGCGTGGTTTGGTTTTCTTAATGCGTGCGGTGTTTGCACTTCCCTCAGAGGCTGGTTATGGTCTTCCAAGTCAGAATGCCGCGGGCAGGTACCCTTTAGTTTTAAAAGTCTCTGAACAACAAAATTGTGTAAGATTATCGTCCTGAAAGAGAGACAGATTATGGTTTGTGAAATGTCTAGTGAGGATAACGCTGCAAAATGCCCCAGTAACTCTACTGCTGCGTTTAAAAGCCCTTTACTTTCGATGAAAAGAAACATTTCACAACCTAAATGATCATTTTTAGTCTGCAATTTCCTACAAAAACTTTCACTTTGTTACACTGTTCATTGGTAATTTTGTTGAAGTAACTGAAAATGGAGATACTTAAAAAGCTGTTAGCTGCACACTTCCTCAGCTCTAAAATCAATACGTGTAGACCTTTGCTCATTGTATGTTCACTTCTCTAGGTTGGGTGATAATGAAGAAAAATCCCTACTGAATCATTTTCTTTTCCTTTCACATCCTTCAGAAATAGTATGGTACCTCTCCAGAGAGTTAAACCCTCTTTTTTTAAAGCTGTTTCCTCGGAAGAAGTTTCAAAACTGACACTACCTGTTACTTGAGGAGAGCAGGCAGCGAATACCTCGTTAGATTTTCCTTGTTCAGAACAGGTTAGTGCAGCGGGCGGCTGCTCCTTTGGGTACGTTACTGCTCAGGAGGGGCTTGTGCGGTTGGTGGGCCAGGTGGTAGTAGTGGAGTAGTCCCAGATCTGTGTCACGTGCACGTGCTTAGCCCAGAAAGCTCCGGTTTAATTATTCCTGGAAGAACAGACTTCTGGAGGTAACGGTGCTGGTGTGGTGCTCTGAGGGCATCATCATATGCTAGATAATACAACCTGATGCAAGAGCTGTACCTTCTGATACATTTCAAGTGCCTCTAGATCAGCTTCCCACCTTTATTTAGAGCCTTTTAAAGGGCTCTAAATAAAATGCATTGTGGAGAAACAACTTCATGTGTCGTTCAGTGGGTATTGATCAACCATCTGGGAAAAGAAACTTGTCAGCTTTGCCTTTAGGAAAGCAATAAGCTGAAGCAGATTGATACTCAGTTTATTTAATAACCTTGCACATTTTTTTTAACAAACCATTTGAAATACTAGTAAGGATTCCCCTCAAGCATTTATCATTTTTGGTCCATGATCAAGTGAACATTACATGGATTATCTGTATGGCCATGTAATTTCCATCAACAGTAATAGTAATTGTAAGCATGTAGAAAGAGGATGGCTTATCCTATGATCCTACCTATTATGAAGTAGTTAACTGATTAAGGCTAGGATACTGCAAGCCACTTCATACCATCGGTGGACCCTCTGCAACCCCATTATCTTCATTAGGCTTGTGTGGGTGTAATTAATTGGTATTTAGTTAACAGTTGTGTTGAATGAAAAGAATTTAGTTCTATTTCTCTTAGTTTTATTGGCCCCATGGTGCTAACAGGCTAAAGTGTAATTAAAAACTCTCTAATCAAAGTACATGTAGCAAGCCCTAAGGAACAAACCCAGTGAGGAAAAGCCTGTGATTGGTGTGACTCTGGCCTTTGAGAAATGACCAGGTACAAATGACACCCTATAGTAGTTCTTTTTTGTTTTTAAGCAATGAAGATGCTTCACTTACATCAACATGCACATTTAAAATGTACACAACCAGCTGTATAAGCTTGCAATCATCACTTTCCTAGGGGTGCCCAGTAACACCATATTTTGATGTCCTCTCAACAGATTTTTCTCCCAAAATCTTTTAGATTGTATAGTATTTTGAGTGGATAGAGAAATGGGTGTTGTGTTTCTTTCGAGAGCAGCTGTACACAATTTTTTATCACCTCTTGCCTTTACTATAACTCTTGTGCCAGGAAATAAATTATGATCAGCTATTCCTCATTTATGATACTGTATTGTGTGCATTCCCTATTTTCACAAGATGCTTTGTATCTCACTTGAGTATTTATATGTGGTGCTAATCTGGGGCACTCTAAAACCAAGTATAATACGGCATGCTTAAGTGTTGTGTAAAGGATTTGCTTTTTGCTGTTCTAAAATGTCGCTTGAAAGATATAAACTTGCCCCTTAAATCAATTAAGATCATGGTCTCAACGCCATCTGTGTTCTTGTAGGATTTCACAAAAGAGTAATGTGTGCTTATTCCACTGACAGGGTCTTCTTTGAAGTGAAGTCTGAGTACATAAAAACTGCATGATATCTCCAGTAAAATCAGGATTGCCTTTTTAGCTTGGCGATACAAATACTCTTGTACAACTAAATTACTGTTTTTGAGGCATCTTAATTTCTTAAATAAAAAAGGCACTTCAACTTTTTTCTTTTTACACCTAAAATGCTTCTGTAGTGTTTCTTTTAATTCTTAATATTCTGTGTTCTATACAGGATAAACTCCAGTAACAAAGCTAAATATAACTTTATGTACAAGAGTAAACAAAAACTTTGGTCCTAGGATGCGGCCGAACATAACATTTAGATTGGGCTTTGAATCTAGATAAAAAACTTCCAAGAACTTGACTAATATATATCCTGCATATTTGGAAATTTCTAATAATTATTTAGGTCTTTTTTTTTTTCCTCTAGCATTATTATTTTAATTTCCAGAGTACTCATATAAGAGTTCATTTGCCTTGAGTAATCATTCTCCGCTCCAATGGTTACTTCAAGCTGAGTGGGTTTTAGTACTAATTTCTTTCTAAAGTTTGAGGATTCTTCCTGTGAGTCTGTTCAGCTCCTGCTGTGCGAGGGTGAGCCTAGTCTTCTCCAAAGGAGGCTGCTGAACTAAAATGTGAGAGCTGATAGGCTTTGATTTATCATTCTAACTCTAAAGGTGATTTGGAATGCACAAAGTTTTTGAGCTGATTTTTGAGTTGACAGAAGATTGTCCCCAAATTTCTGTGATATAACTGGTTTTTGTAGTGTGTAGATTTTTTAATGTAATGCATAGGTTATTGATGAATGCTAGGTTTAGTCTCAGATATCAGGAGTTTACTACGTGATTTCTTTGTGCATGCATTTTGAAGTAACTGTTACGAGCTTTGAGTCATTATTGAAGCCTGCCTAGTTCAGGGACCCAGACATGATGGTTTATAGGGATTTTTGTCAGTATATTGTCAATATCATACTCTGAAATGTTAGTACACTTAGAAATATATACAGAGTCAGAATGTTATCAGGCTTTGTGAAATTCATATTAAATATTTTCTATGACATGAAAATAAAAATATGTGCTCATACATCAGTTACTGCATATGAGGTATTGATGTAATTTCAAAGATGATGTGGCAATGCGGCCATAATACATTTGCAATTTATACAAAGCAGCACTCAAACTCAGAGATGAACAGAGTTAGAAAAGCAGCAATGTGTACTTAAGTTTTCTAGTTCTGAGGCTGGGTAATTACTGCTAAAGAGAAACTTACTTTTACATAAATCAGCAGAATTTATTCTTGTTCATCATCTCTTTTTTTTATGGGCAGAACGGTTTTCTTGATGTTCTAGTTTGAACCTGCAGGGCGGGAAGAGTAACATAGAAGGGAATTACTCTTTTCTACTTTTCTGACCTGTTTGTTGAAATGAGATACCTTTCTGAAAAGAGTGATTTGATGTCTTTTTAAAGGTTCTGAGCACTAAAGCATCTTTTTTTTTTTTAAATCTTTCCATTCATTACTCTCACTACAAAGAATTTTGCAGAAGATTTTTTTTAATCTAGATTTTTTTAGCTTCACCCTTCAGGCTTTGCATCTTCCTCTTTCCTTTTATATTGGCTTAGAAAACCCCCAAATTTGCTCAACTATTTAAGAAGCAGTACTTGCAGTTCCAAATACAGAAACTTTTGGAGTGGTTGGAAACAATCTGTAGGTTACCTGTTACTGGTTAGCAGATGAAACGCTTACATGACTGAGAAGTGAAACCTGACTAGT